TGAAGATGGCAATCTCAAAGGATCATGAAGTAGCAACGTATGTGCATGGTGTCATCTTGGTGTGCTTAGGGGGATGGGGGAATTAAAGCATGAAGGCCTCAAGCTTCTGTATTTTCTCAATCGTCACAAATCAGGACAGTTGAGTGTAATGGAATGTAGAAAGATGGTTTAGCAGTGTTTGTCAGCTCTTTGAGTGGATAGGGAAGTAATAGCTAAAATTCTAAAATTTCACGATGACAATGCTGCTATGAAAGCATGCAGCAATTGTGGAAGTCCATAGGATCCTTTCACAGTCCGATCGCAATGGGATTTCTTTGACTCTGAAAAATTCAGTAGTGTAATTCCTGCAGATGTCATCAGGAAGTAAATATATTTTGTGATACATTATGTGGTAAAGATAGGTTGACTAAATTTGTTTATTTTCGTTTAATTTTCTTGTAATATTAGCATTTAAATTTCAACACAGTCTTTTCTCTAACTTTACTTTTCTCATGTACTTTTTCTTCCTAATTATATGGCCTTTCTATTTTTCATTTTGCAAAAAACCATCAAAGACCCTAATAGTAGCCATAATTGAACAAAGAAAACCATCAATTTATGGTAGTAATGAGTGGCACCCAAGGTGTCATTATTACGATGCAAGTGTGCAAATCAAATTATTAAGAGACTCTATATATCTTCTTTTATCACCAAACCCTACATCCACCTTGTCTTATCACTAAGTCTTATGGAGTCATTTTGACGGCAAGTGTCTAAGAGAATCCCTAGGTCCATAACATAGTCTCACTCATGTCCTTTTTGCTGCCATTTTTCCCACTCATGCATTAGTTCACCTATTAAAAACATACATTTGACAGTACTCACTCCACAGATGCGCACACAAACAACCACTGTGTGCTTTTTAGTTATGCTTAAAATAACATAACAAAATATCAAAACTTTAGTTAGTTTAATTTAATAGCCCTGTATTAAGATAATTAATTAGGAAATTTTGGAAAAATTGTACATATCATGAGCATGGCACACATGAAGTGCATATAATGTGCGCTGGTTGAGTTGTCAAATTTTGCTAAACCCAATGCTAGGGTTTGGTGGGCAATCATAATTGATGGTGTGCTTGCATGGTTGGTATTTTTAATAATAATTTTTTGGTTATTGTGCCACTTTGTGGTAATGATAAGTTTAGTAGTTGTGCAAGTACATCAATGTACACACATTCTTATTTTTATATTATTAATTAAACCCTATATATGTGATAAGACTTGTAAACTGCCACTGTAACAAGACTTGCAAACTGTCACTATAACCTTATATATGTGATCCTTGTGGATTCCAAGCCAATTATATCTATTGTATGTGAATGTAACCTTATGTATGTGATTGTTGTGGATTATGTTGTAATTGTATCTACTATACCAAAAGTCTCGCATCACATAGTCTCACTCTTACGTTTTTGCTGTCATTTTTTGCTCTCTTGTATAGGGCAAGAGAACAAGCTAAGCTTAAAATAATGCATTAGGTCACCTATTAAAAACACACTTTTGACACAACTCACTTAACTGTATGCTTTAAATTATACTTAAAATAACATAACAAAATATCAAATGTTTATTTAATCCAATGGACAACCCCAAATCGAGTTCATTCTCATCCTTTGCCAATCACCATTTTTTGCAGAACTGAAAAAGAATTGTTGGTTTGAAGTTAAAAATATACATTGGCCGCCGTGAATTTGGTGGCTTAGGCGGCACTAGCGCCTTGAGTGGTCTCGGTGGACTAGGAGGAACAAGTGGGTTGAGCGGTCTTGGTCGATTAGGCGGAGCGGCTGATGTTGTTTTGGGTTTCAAATTTTAGGGTTTAGTTTTTCTTTCTGGATTTTAATTTTTGGTGTTCTGAAGGAGGTGGGGGTAGAAGTTTTTAGTTTTTTTTTTTTAATTTTTATTTTTAATATTTTAACTTTTAGGGTTTAGTTTTTAATTTTTAGTTCTATATATATATATATATATATATATTTTAATTTTTCGATGATCACATGGGGCCGTAGTACCACATGGTGCCAATCATTGTTCACTTGAGCGTTATGTCATGGGTTAATGGAGGTTTTCACGAAAAACCTAACAGATGTATGAAAGTGTCCCACCATTCTTACTTTAGCTGACACTGAAAAAACTTAATGTATGAAAGTTGAAAACTATAATACTTCAGGGTAGTAAAATGAGAATTACGATTATTTTACTATTAAAAAATGAAAAACAAAATTAAGTAAACTGCCCACGTAATGAGTTTCTTGTTTGAATGTTTTGATTTCAAAATATATTTTCAATTTACTATTTTATCCCTATTGATTAACTTGTTTTATTTTGACACCCTTAATAACATAGGGGTATTTTAAGGATATTTGAATGTTTCACCTGATTGGGGTTTAGGATGTTTCTTTATATATAGAGATTAAAATGATTTAATCGAAGTAGTCATAAAATGTAACTAAATCACATATTACATGATATGAGATGCATATATAAGGTGTCTAAAATGAATGCATCCTTGCCTTGAACAAACATGATACTTGAAGTACTAGTAACACCATTTCAACCTGTTCTAATGAGGTTGTAAACTGAATGTATGAATGTAATTGAGCAAACAGAAATTGCATTGCAGTGAGTAGACATGTAAATAGGTCGGGTTCATTAGGTTGGACCCGACCTGTTAAGTTAATGGGTCACCCACACCTAACCTGTTACGCTAATGAGTCACCTAAACCCAACTTGTGTAAGCTAATGGGTCATCCATTTTAGGGGTGGTAAGTACGATTACCGTACCAAAACCCATGTACCAATTACCATACCAAACTTTTGGTATGACAAAATCTATTACCATTACTGTGCCAAACTTTTGATATACCAAATTTCGGCATGCCAAATAATTCGGTTGGCATGGTATGGTAATGATAATTACCACTTTGTTTTGGACCATTCTTTTAGGCCAAAATCTGTTTTTTTTCTCTTTTTTTTTTTTCCAACCCAATTCAAGGGCCAAACTTGTTTTGGCCACTCCGTTTGGGTTTCTTATACTTTTTTATTTAATTATGAGAATTTTATAGAGATTTATTTAAGAAACAAGAAGTAAATAGATGGAAGAATTGCTGAAAGAATCCAAAATCCCTAAAAAAAAATAGTACAAAGATTCCTAAATTACATCTTTACATTCTTTAAAATTGTACAAAAATTAAATTAATAGACGAAGCCAAAGAGAAAGACATCTCAATTTGATGAAGAGAAGATGAGATGGACTCTAGAGAGATAAAGTCGCCGGAACTGGAGCAACAAAGATGAAGTCGGTGGCCAGATGAGTGAAAAGAGGAAAAGTCGCAGCGCAAGAAGGTTTAGGTTTTTTATTGAGAAAGTAGAGGTTAGAGGGTGAGATGATTGGATAAATAACTAGGAAAAAAAATATAAAGTGCATATAATGATAATAATATCTAAATATATATAAATGAATAAATAAATGATATAATATTAATAATAGTGGTACGGTATGGTATACCACTGGTAATGGTATTCAACCATTACCGTACCAAAAATGTATGGTACAGTACAAATACCGTACCATTACCAATGGTACAAATTTTTTGGCACAACTTTGGTATGGTACGGTTGGTAATTTGGTTAGTATGGTAATTTGACAAAAAATTCATCCCCTAATCCGTTTCACCATTAACACCCGTTAACAATTTCTTTTTGTTTTTGTTTAATTTTACATTTCCATAGATAGTACATATATCTTAATCAAGATTTCAAGCATGGAGGTCCAACATATTTAGAAGTACCCCAAATATAAAGTTAATATGACTTGGTAATATTGGTATTATAAAACCTTGTAATCAAGTTACAACCCAAATTTCTAAATTCATCAAAGCTTGCACAACCTGGGCTTATTACCATTTTCTGCCATCCTCCTAGCGCGGTTCATCTATATTCAATTAATTGAAAAACTATCGAATTAATTGAAAAAAGATACCAATTTTAATTGAATTCAAATGCATGATTATAATCATGGTGAATTGAATTCAAATGAAGCAAAAGAACAAACCCAATAGAAAACAAAACAAAACAAGTTAAGCTGCAAAGAAAGCAAAACAAGCCGTAAAGAAAAACGACGCACAGAATCTGAAGGTTTCAAACTTTCAATTGACATTGATAGCACACAACATGGACAGAACAGCCAGCCGCCTCTCAAAAGCACCGGAAATAGAAAAATTATTGAGTAACGGAGCTTCAAGAGAGAGAGAGAGAGAGTGGATGAAGAGTAGATAGAGAGACTAGAAAGCAAAACGCTCTCAGCGGAGTGCGTGAGACAAAGAGTCAGCGATGTTTTTTTTTTTTTTTTTTTTTTTTTAAGATTATTGAAATTACACAAAACATCCTTGGTAACGGGTGGTAATGGATGCTAACGGGTTTTGCAGGTTGAACCAAAGTGATTTGTTATTTAACAGGTTCATCCGTTAAGCATTCACCCAAATACTAATTTTAACGTTTTTTTTTTTTTTTTTTTTTTTGTTTTTTTTTTTTTTAAGATTATTGAAATTACACAAAACATCCTCGGTAACGGGTGGTAATGGATGCTAACGGGTTTTGCGGGTTGAACCTAAGTGATTTGTTATTTAACAAGTTCATCCGTTAAGCATTCACCCAAATACTAATTTTAACGCATGAGTCAAGTCAGATTAACGGGTCAGGTCTAGCCGTGAGGTTCTAAAGGCAACTAAGCCAACACTAAATTCCTACATAAATTTGACAAAAAAAAAAAAAAATTCCCGCATAAATTGAAAAAATTTGAGTTACAAAAACAACAACAGATTTTTCAATTTTTGCTGCTCAAGTTGGGTTATCAGATTGAGGTGGGCTAGAGAACTGGGCCTGGAGGCTTGGGCCTTGAGCGTAGCGGGTAGGCAGTAGTTTCAAGCTTTTCGGTACACATTTTCCCGCTAAAACAGTTTCCCCAAATTAAAAAACAAAAAACTCAAGATTTTCCGATCCAACAGAGAGATTGAAAGTTTCTGAAGAGAGGTAGAGAGAGAACGAGATGGAGGTAAAGACAGCAGGGGCGTCGTTGGATTCGGTTATCTCAGGGTTCAACCGTCGGATCGCGGAGCTTCAAGATCTCGTCATTGCGCGAAACGGTAAGACCCGACCCGACCCATCTCCTCCGCCTGCAACTGCTTCATCCAATTCTTGTAATCATAGTTGTCCGCATAACCTCTGAATTGTTCATGTGGCAGTGTACCCGGCGAGCAGCGTCACCGATTTGTCGGCCGTCGACGCGGTCGTGAAGGCCATGGAGCTTCAGGTTCAGGCCATCAAGGACCGCTTGCGTGATGAAACCCTAGCCATCCCTAAAGCTAAAGTACTCTCTCTCTCTCTCTCAAGTTTGGGGAAATTAGTTCAAATGTTTGTTGAGCTTAGGATGTGTTTGGCAACTAGGAAAATTCAAGTTACAAAATTAAATTTTTTATCCACCAAATGGGAAAGTGAAAGAATCAATTTTGATCATTAGGGCAGGCGATAATTTACTTAATTAATCCTGGAACATGTTTTGCTTGTTGAAATTTCGGCGAATTGTACTTTGATGTTGTAATGTGATGGCAGAAACTCGTCGATGCCGCGCTGAAGCAGCAAAAGAAATTGCAGGACATGTCAGTTTATGTGCCCTCGCATGTTCCCGAAAGAATGTCGATGTTGAATTTGGATACTAATAAGTGGTAAGACAAGTTTCTCATGCATCCATGGATTAAGCATTGTTTATTTGAGTCTCTTACATTGTTTGTATTTGGTAGGTAGAGATTTATGTTTGTGTATTTCAGTTTGTTTCCAGAAGGAACTCAACAAAATACCGGTTCCTTCAAGCTTGAGGAAGAGCCTGCTGCTCTACCTAAGGTAAGAAATGCTCTCTACGCACACACAGATGCGCACACTACTTGTGCACAGCCAATGCAATCAATAAGGAACAAGGGATGTCCGCAACATATATTGTAATCGAGAATTTGTGATGTGCAGCAAAACTTCGAATATTCTTTGAAGAATCATGTCCTTGTTCTTGTTCGTGCACTTATTTGGATGATTAATTTCTTACTATTTCTTAAAGAATGACCCTTTTCTTCAAACTATTGCTTGGTAGTACTATCATACTAATATTGCAATATTACATATGCCTTGTCTTTCTTTCATAACTCGAGAATTGATGTGCGGAAAACTATTTCTGTATCAGTTATATGGCTAGCTTGTTCTGGAACTGTCATTAGTTATATGTTGGAGATACAGTAGCTACAGGATAATCACTTGTTCTTTCTGTTTTTGTTAATTTCAGGAGAAAAAGGGACGTTCCCCTCCACCATTGTGGTTTATAACTGCTGAAGAGCTGGATTCTTTGTCGGGGTGAGTGGGTTGAATTTTCTTTCTTAATTTATCTTACTTTATTTGATAAGACTTAAGCGTGAGTCCCATGTCCACTGTGTGCTTTTGCACAACAACTTTTACCTCATTGAAGAATGTTCCGGCCCTTTATAAGCTCCAGAACTCTTTCCACCTGCAGTATGATACTATGGCTCACATATTATGATCCTGAAGGTTTTCAGCTTGCTATGTAACTTTCTTTCTGTTGCCTTAGCATATAGGAGAATATGATAGCTAGGACTCAAATGAAAGGTGATACATATTGGATAATCCGATTTTGTCTCCTAATTCTTTCCCCAATTTTCGAATCACAGGTACATGAGGGGAAGGCTTACAGTAGAGAAGATCAATGCAGCTATTAATGACATGGTGACATATGCAGAAGCAAACGCTCAGCTGATATTTGCCCCAAAGAAGAAGGTTTGCATTCTGTCTCTCTGAGTCTTTGGTTTGTACATGACGCTATTGCACACGTCTGACTCTGGTTTACCAATCATCATGCAGGTAGCAGGAGATCTTTGGGAAAAGGCACTGGTAAGTGAACTTAACCAGGTTATATGTTTTAAATTGTCTGGGGGGGGTTTTGTTGGTGGCCAATAGCATGGGTTACAAAGTGGGAGGTAGCTCTCTCTCATCATATAAGCGTCTCCATCCTTGGTGAAGGTGTCGTATCCTTGAGCATCGCATGTAACTGTTGATTTATGCATTAGTATTCAGTTCCCAACTTCCCACCATAAAATATGCAGGAAATGAGGGACATTGCAATGACAGAAGGAATAAGGGGAAAACACTTCTTTCTCGAAACTGACATGAAAGGACCAACCTTGAAGCCTGACAATACTGGAAAAGCAATACTAACTGTAAGCTCGTGCCTTGCCTTTTTTTCTTTCAAACTTTTATGATTTTAGAAACTGAAAAAGAAGTTAGGGCAGAAATATCGTAGTGCAATTAAAGAAAACTTCACCTGTTTTTGGCATAACTTTAAGTAAATAGTATACATTTACCTTCCCATGCTTCATGAACTCTAAACAGATTATTTCATGTATTGGTTAAATAATCCCGGTAATTATTTCAAACCTGATGTGCTTGGTTTCAGTGGGAATTTCATCCTAAAAGTAGTTTTAGTGTACTTGTGCTACTGTTGGTTTTACATACACCTGACATTCATGTCGTTTTTGTGACATACCCGATATCTTAACGGGTCGTGTCGTGTAACACCCGTTAAAGTAAATGGTAATATGACCTGACCCGAAATCAACCCATTAATCTTATCAAATAATATGACCCGATCCACTACCCAATAAGGAAAATATATTTTAAATCAATAAATAATGAAAATAGAAAACATAATTTGACCCCAAAAAAATTGAAAACATAATCCTAAATTTGTATATGTGTGTCACCTTGTCATGTAAATATTACTTCAAAACATAAAAACAACATTTGTCTTTTAAGTATTACATACCCCAACATATGAGTATAATAAAAAATATTAGTACATTACTACAAAATACCAAATGTTCAAGGATATGCAAAATGAAAGGAGTTACGTTTCAAGGTTGATGAAACCTTGCACCTTTTTTTACAATAAAACCCTTTAAATTTCATCAATCACCAAGGTAAATGATATTGGTTTATTTTGAACTCCCTTAAAAATACTATTCATGAGGGTTTGTATGGTTTTAAAAATTCAAAAGACGATGTACCCATCCTCAAAGCGTAGAGGATGCGATTACGAGGGTTTGCATATTATTTCATCTTTTTCGCACTTGTAAATTAATTATTATATTTTTTTTTTCGATGTGTTTTGTATTTTTAAATTACTTGATATTTTTATTTTTAATGTGTTTTATAATTTTTTTAATCTCACTCCTTGCCTATAGTATACTATAAAAATAAATAAAACTTAAAATTTTTGAAATTTATATAGAATAATAATACAATAATACATATTTTAATATACACTATATACAAATACAATATGGCTAAAGTTTTTTATAGTAAGTTTTTTTAAGTAGTTTAAAAATTTAAAATTATCAAAATAACTTTTTTCTTAACGTATCGAAACAGATTATTCGCATGTCACTCTTGTATTTTAATATACACTATATACATATACAATATGGCTATTGTATTTTATAGTAAGTTTTTTTTATGTAGTTTAAAAAATTAAAATTATCAAAATAACTTTTTTCATAACGTGACGAAACAGATTATCTGCATGTCACTCTCATGTAAACCTGTTAAAGACCTGGTATTAACGGGTTCTTATTATGTAATCCGATAACAACCCAACTAGTTATCATGTCGACTTGAAACCAGTTATTTTCGTGTCGTTTACATGTCGTGTTAACAAGTCCTATAAGAAATTGCCAGGTCTAGTTTTACATAGGTCAAAGTTCTGTTTTTGTAGTTAATTGTTTAAACTCTATGATGCTTATGAAATGCTTTCAAGATTAGCATGAAGCTTTACTATCTCCTTCATAAACTTCCTATCACGTTTCTGTTATCTTTTCCGTTGGCAAATCGAGTTAGCCAGTCCTGCGTGTAGAATATAGCGGGAGTATGATATAGTTAATGATCTCATTTCTCCTCTAACAAGGAGGTCCTAAGTTCGAATAACTGATTAAAAAAGAGTTTTTGTGCTATATATTTACTTGAATGATGATGACTAAGGTTTTGTGATGGCATTTCTCTTTTTCATTCCATTTTCCTTGGACATTTTGCTGCTGCACAGGTCCTTCGTCACCTTGGTCGTGTAAGCGAGACACGTATCGGGCCTCATCGAGTGATCATTCTATTGAAGCGTCCTTGACAGGGCCTGCATCATGGTTTGGTTCTCAATCATTTTGGTTTTTGATTAAAAAAAATTCAAGTTCTTGCTTTGCATCGTGTGTAAATGGCAAGAAGATTTGGCTCATGTTGTCGCTTTTGAGGCTATATAGTCGAGTGTATCTCTTAAAGTTAAACTATTAAAAAATTTAGACATGTATTATTGTATTATTATTCTATATAAGTTAGGAAAATTTAAGTTTTATTTATTTTTACAAGAGAGTTTCTTATAATAATTGCTAGGATAAATTTTACTTGACTTGTTCAAAATTCAAATCAACTCGTATAGGCGCAAAAAAAAAATAATTTAATTTTAGAGTCAACAACCTAACAAAGTTTTTTCCTTTCTTTCATGCAGTCATACTTAGATATGTTTTATGTTCTTAAAAGTGAGATTAAAACATTATAAAACACATTGAAAAATAAAATATCAAAGCAACATAAAAATACCAACTTTTTTTTTTTGAGAAATAAAATTACTGACTGAAAAATACCAAACACATTAAAGAAATTATAATAATTAATTTACAAGTGCAAAAAATGTAAAGGCATAAGCAAACATTTGTGACCGCATCCTCTACGCTTGGAGATGGGTATATCGTTGTTTGAATTTTTAAAACTCTACAAATCCTCGTGAATAGTATTTTTAGAGGAGTTCATAATAATTAATGTCCAAATGTGAAAAGAGTGGAAGAATATATAAACGCTCATGATTGTATGCTCCACGCGTAAACGATGGTTACATTGTCGTGTAGATATTTAAAACCTTCCAAACCCTCATGAATAGTGTTTTTTATTTGAGTGCAAACTTACATTATTGCAAAAGTGGGAACAAGGCAACAAACATTTACATTCACTTGTAATGACAAGCTTTACAACTTTTGTAAATAGGTTTAACTCTAAAATTTGAAACCAAAATCCATAAACCTTAAATCTGTATTTAACTGTCAATTGTTGTTTACGCTTTATTTTCCCATCGAATTTTGTTTTTCATATTTTCTTTTTCAAAACAACATCTTTAAGCAGATGTAGAAAAATGAACAATTCAGATCATTAATATCACGTTTTGATATTTATGGTTAATTGAAATATGAGTCAATGTTATATAGTTTCTAGAGACTTTATAAACTCCGAGCAATTTTTTCACTAACGATAAAACTCCGAATATAATATCTATGATCTGAACTGTTCATCTTACTACATATTCTAAATGATCATGTTTGAAAAAAAAACAAAAACAAAATTTGTTGTGCAAAATAGAGGGTAAATATAATTGACAATCAACGGTTAAATTTCGATCTATAGTTAGGTGATACGAGTTTATATATATTCATACTTCTATGTTAATATTAACGAGTCAAGTTCGAATCGGGTCATATTACCAGTTCATTTTAATGGATGTTACACGACACGACCCGTTAAGATATTGAGTATGACAGGAAAACGACACGAATATGAAAAACACGACATGAATATGAAAAACACGACACGAATGTTAAGCTGCGTGTTATAACTCAAGACCCACTCATTCAATAAAATCGTGGTGGTTTGATTCAAAATTGACTCACAATTTTGAGTGTGCGAGTTAGTTCATATAAATTAAATTTCATGCAAGTTCTGATGTTAACAGCCTGTGTCTAAAATTGTCTACTAGTTCGTGATGTAAAAGGAGACCCTAAAGAATTTTGTTATTTAAGAAATTTCATGAGAGGTCTTAAGTTCGACTTTCGTAAATGAAAAATTAGAAGAACATTGAATACTTCGCTACTTTATTCATTCTTTAGGGTTTACAATATATAGGCACATGACTTATCAAGGAAAGTAATTACAAAAGATAAGGAAACCAAATCCTAAAGATTACCAATCATAATCCTATCTAAAATAGAACTCCAAGAATATTTACAATTAAGACTCAAATTAACACTCCTCCTCAAGTTGATGCATAGATATAATACATGCCCAACTTGATAATTGAGTCTTGGAAAACCTTACTAGATACTACATGATTAAGAACATCAGCCAACTACTCTTCTGAACTCACATACAGTATAGACACAATCTTCTTTTCAAGATTTTGCTTGACAAAGTGTCGATCAATCTCCACATGCTTTGTTCGATCATGTTGTACCGGATTATCAGCTGTCTCCCATGCAAATTTATTCTCACAATATAACTCTATAGCTATATTTGGTTCAAAACCAAGATATCTCAAAAGTTTACGTAACTAAAGAAGTTCACATATTTAGTGTGTCATACCTCTATACTTTGCTTCCGCAAACGACCTTGACACCACTTTATGCTTCTTACTACGCCATGTAACCAAATTACCTCCAACAAATGTACAATACCTTGATGTAGATTGTCTGTCAGTAACATTACCAGCCCAATTTGCATCTGTAAACTATTAACCTTTAGATGTCCATGTTTTCCACAAAGTATTCCTTTCCTAAGTGCACACCGTGATTATGTCTTATTGGCAATTTATAATTACTTGCACCAATATCAGGATTAATTGTATTATCATTTAAAATACTTGCCTCTTGGATATTTCGAGGAGATGGAACAGGCACTACAGGATCAGAGATAGAGAGAGGGTACTACAAACATACTTGGTAATTTAGCATATTCTTGTTGAACTAGGTTGTACTGTTTGATGGGAGCTTGATGAATTGGGCGATACAGTTCGGTACGATACAGCCAAACTGGGCGGTACTCTTCGATAGAACTTTATCGATCTAGGCTTGGGTCTTCGGTAGGGCTCTACTGAATATCTTTGATTTTTTCGATGGCAACCTGCCAAAATGGGTTGCCTGGTTCAGTGGGTTCGGTAGGCTTATGCCAAAATGCAGAAAAAAAATCCAAGAAAGACATAGCACAATGCATAAGATCAAGCTTACTATGATGAGCTTTCTAAATATGAACATAGACCACATAACCAAAGATCTGAGGTGACAAACTATTTTGAGTAAGCTCCTAAAGTGATGTTCGATAATTTAAGACTCGAGAAGGCATATGGTTCATAACATAAATTGTATGTACAACAACATTAGGGTAGAAACGTTAGGGAGCAGATGCACCAATAAGCAAAGCACAAGCTATCTCAGGATATGATGATTCTTCCCTTCCGCCACTCCATTTTGTTGTGGGCTATGTGGACAGGTAGTTTCGTGAACAATCTCATGATCTTGTAGAAACCAAGATAATTTAGAATTTATGTACTCTCCACCATTGTTAGAACACAAAACTTTAATATTAGAAGAATATTGAATTTTACCATCTAACGAAACAGACGAAACACATCACAAATCTCACTTTTATTTTTCCACACATACAACCACTTCATACGGGTGCAATCATCCACGAAAGTAATGAACCACTTAATTCCCGAAGTAGTACTAACAAGGGAAGGCCCCCACACATTAAAGTGTACTAGCGCAAACGGAAAAGACCCTTTATTCATACTTGAAGAGAATGAAGCATGATCACTTTTGGCTAAAATACATACTTCACACTTCATTCTGAGTCTTCAATTCCACTAAACAAATCATTTACATACGTTTCAAATAGCCAAATGATGCATGCCCCAAACGACGATGCTACAACAATACCTTCTGTAAATTACTGTTTTGCAATGCACATACCAAATTAGCTCTTTCAGGAACCCATATTATCCAACCTCTATTTGTCATTGTAGTAACACACGGCTTCAAAACAAGGACTACACACAAGGCCTACTAGCAGCAAAATACTCTTACACGGCGCTGCAATTACTTGACACAGCAGTTGCAAACGAGACAAGGCGCCACTCACGGAAGAAAAAAAGCAATAACACTAATTACAACAGTTCAGAATACGACGACCAGCAAATCAAAAAAGAAGTTTGTTTCCAGCGATGCAAGTCAGACAGCAGCCAAGGAACCCGCGCTGCTAGTCATACAACAGCCAAGAAACCCAAGCTGCAATTCACACGGTTCTCGTTCCAAAATTGCAATTCACACGTCAGAGCAGCAGACTATCCTCCAATTGCTTAAGCACAGCAATAATTCATGTCAAAATGAAAAACAAAAAATTGAAAGTAAGAAGTCAAGGCAACAATTGAAAACTTCAACTGCCACCAAGAATCCACGCTGCAATCCAGACAAAAGGCACAAAATCCAAGATGCTACATTCCACACGGCACAGCCAGAAGCCAATACATGGCACGACCAAATTGTTACAGTACAGCAACTGAACACAGTACACAAGGTGCTGCTGTGGGCACGGCACTAAAACAATATTGCTACTAAATGCGTAGCAATTATACACGGAAGGAAACCAAGCTCTTGCTGCTAAGAAGAAATAAGCTTCGTTACTTTATTTATAGTTTATGGTTTATAATAGAGTGAAGTGCCGATTTAGTCTTTAATTATCATCTCAATAAAAATTAGATTCTGAATTATTTTTTTCGGTAAAATGTCCTTAAATTCATTAAAAATTGCTAATTACATCCCTATTATTATATTCATGTTGTAGCCTATTTTATCTGACAAAGGGAATAGGGTCGGCAGCAAGGGTAGAGAAATTGAGAGAGATGTGTTTGTAGAATTGTAGGGGAATGTGTGTGTTATCCTTCCTACATAGTGCCTTTATTTATAGTAGTAAAAGGAGAGAAGAAATTCCTTCATCCCTAAAGAATACAAGTTGTAATAGGAAAGGATAACTAGAATCAAATCTAATCAAAGATTTACACAGTGACACTTAAACTAGGAAAGTTTACAACACTCCCCCTTGAGTGTGTAAATACTCAAGGTAGATTTAGCATCATGCAGAAGTTGAGGAAGTTGACTCGTCGGCACTGATTCTAAGGAACAACACTTATTCTCAATAAGGTAGGAACTTGCATAAGTAAATGAGTCTCACTAAAAAACCCTAAGGCTATGAGTCTAAGGAAAAATGCATGAGAAATGCAAAGTCAAAAGAACGTCTATGAGATGTCATCAGGGATATGACCAGCCCAAGGTGGGTGCCTCGTTAAAACCTAGTTAGGTAGCAAAAACCCAGTGGGAAAAATGCTTCTAATCGTAGGGAAAAAGAGTACATTAAGATCAAGCAAGTATCTTCAGGATACTCCCCCTAAGTATGACACAGTTCCAAAGAGAAATAGCAATGTTACAACTCAAAAAGTTTACGCATACCAATTCCATGAAAAAAATTCTAAAACAATGT